ATTAAACTGATGCATCAGGGGTCAAGATGAGGAAAGAAGGAAAAAGTGGCAATTGCCAGGGTGAGGATCTATGAGACTTCATAGGTCAATGGATTGGAGGTCTTGGTGAGAAGGCAGAGGAAGAGGTGGAAAGCCAATAGATTATGATCAGATAAGGGAATTTCAGAGTTCTTGAATATGGAGGTGGTGCTTTTTTGAGTGATGGCAAGATCAAGAATATGACCATCTATTGTATAGCTGAGATGGGGTGGAGGAAAAAGTCATGGGGAGTGAGTAGGTTGAAGACCTAGGAGGGTATTTGAGTGAAGATGTCAATATTTGTGTTGAAGTCCTGTAGCGTGACCACAGGAGTTGTATAGAAGAGAAACATGGTAAGTCAGGTACTGAGCTTATTGGGGGCAGGGGGCGCCTTACAGTCTGTAGATAACATCTACCAGTATCTTGATTGGGTAGAGGATATTGATTATCTGGACTTCAGAATTCAATTTGAGGCATTATTTTAAAGTTATTTGGAGGGGAATATTATGAAAGTTTGTCTGAGTGCTTCCTCTACTCTGTTATCTTGACTCCACCTCTGCCAGGTAGATGTTAATGATTAAATTCCACTGATCTACCTGTCTATTTTTAACAAATACAAAATAGTTTTTAATGACAACTGCTTTGTAATATAGTTAGAGGTATGGAAGTGCTATTCTCCCTTCATCTCTCTCTTTTTTCATTATTTCCCTGATATTCTAGAACTTTTATTTTCCAAATAAATTTTATTTTTCCAAGTTCTATAAATTATCCTTTTGATAATTTGATTGATATAGCATTAAAACTGTAAATTAACTTTAGTACTATTTTCATTTTTATTATATTTATTTTATTATATTGACAAGGCAAAGAGTCATGATATTCTATTGATAATTATTCTTTATTAAGAAACACTTTTGGCAAACACCTCCAGGCCAGCTCTACAGAATCAACAAATGACAAACCCTGCGGGCAACTGGGTTGAGAGACAGCCTCAGCCTTAGAAACTTTCATCTCACAGAAAGTATTGGGGTCTGACAACTGAGTAGGAAGAGATTGCAAGACACCAATTGTCAATGGACACCAAGCACAGATGTGTTGACCAGACATGTACTGAAATGTGGCTGCAGGGAGAAGGGGGTAGCACACAACTAACTGGTCAGTGCAGATGAATGCAGTAGCAAGGGGCAGGGACCCTGTTGGCTGTGGGCACTGCAAGACAGCAGAGTCCCTGGTTTCAGTTCTGGGGCAGAGAGAACAGCCTTTAAGGGACTGCAGAGAGCAAGATCATTTGCAGGACAGTGGGGCTAGGAGCCCTACCTGTGGCTTAGGAGTAGAGAAAAGAGCCCGAGGTTGGTCCCTAACACAGACCTCAGAAAATAACAGTAAAAAGGACCTGAAGCTTAGGGCATCATTCCCCATACTTTGGGACTACAGCTTGATTACACAAATAGCTGCTAAAAACTAAAAAGGAAGTCACTCCTTTTTCATTGAGAAACGTCAAATGCTCCCAACCACAAAAAGAGTTCTTGGAAAAGTAGACTATAAAAATCAAATAAGAGAGGTCAAGGAAAAATTAGAAAGAAAAAATAAGAGCAATCCAAGAAAATCAAGAAAATTATGAAAAGAAAGTCAACCAACTGGAAATAGAGAATCAAAAACTTAAGGAAGAAAATAATTCCTTGAAAACTAGAAGCTAATGACATTCTAAGACAAGGAGAAATCATAAAACAAAATCAAAATGGAAAAATAGAAGAGGAAGTGAAACATCTCATCAGAAAAACAACTGATCTGGAGAACAGATCAAGGAGACATAATATAAGAATAGTCAGACTGCCTGAAAATTACAATAAAAAGGAATCTTGGTACAACATTATAAGAAATTATCAAGGAAAATTGCCTTGAAGTTCTAAAACAAGAAGGTAAAGTAGAAATAGATAAGAAATCCACCGATCACCACCTGAAAGAGATCCCAGGAGGAAAATTTACAGGAATATCATAGCCAAGTTTCCAAGCTCCCAGATTAAGGAGAAAACATTGGAAGCAACAAGGAAAAAAACCAATTTAAAGATAATGGAGCTACAATAAGGATTACACAAGACCTAGCAATTACTAGATTGAAGGACCATAGGTCTTGAAATACTATATGCCGTAGAACAAAAGATTTGGGATTATGACTAAGGGTAATTTAGCTAGCAAAGTTAAGTATAATCCTGAATGAAAAAAAAAAGGACATTGAATGATATTAAAGACTTTGTGACAAACCGCCCCCCCCCAACTTAAGGGAAAATTCAACATATAACATCCAAGAGAAATTTAAAGTAAACCTTAAAGACCAATTATAAGAGACACAATAAGGTCAAATTGTTTACTTCATACATATGAAAATATTAGCAGTATTTGGGTAGTCTGAAAGAAAGGTATGGGCTGAATTGACTATGATGGGGTGGTTCTTAAAAAAATAAAACCTAGGGAGAGATAAAAAGGGGCAATTATCTCATACAAATGAGACATAAAAGGAAAAATTGATACAGAAGAAGCTAGTAAGGGGGAGAGCAGGTAGTGCTGGAACCTTACTCTCATTGAGAATAGTTTAAAGAGATAACAGCATATATCTAGAAGAGTATAAAAGTCTTCTAAATTCAGAAAGAAATAAGGCAAGGGGATAGTGTGGGAGGAGAGGATAAAGGAAGGACTCTTAGAGGGGTGGGTAGATTAAGGAATAGGAGGGTAAAGTGTAGTGAGTAGAAATAAAGCAAAAGAGGGAGGAGGGATAGGGTAAAAGAGGTGAGAAGGGTAGTGAGGAAAAATAGGAAGGAGGAAAATACACAACAAGTAATTGTAGCTTAGAATGTGAATGGGACAAATTTACCCATAAAACAGAAATGGATAGATTGAAAGTTTTAATTCAACAAAATATTGCTTTCAGGAAACATTATAAAAAAGAGAGATGCACACACAGATAAAATAAAGGGCAAGAATAGAATATAGTATGTAAAAAAAAAGCAGGGATAGTAATCAAGAGCTCAGACAAAGTTAAAGTTAAAATAGATTTAATAAAAAATTAAAAATAGAGAAACTACACTATGTGTCAGCCATATTATTCAACATCATTTTAGACCATTTAAAATACTTAGACGATATAAAATATCTGAGTGTATACCTGCCAAAAAAGACACAGGAATTATATGAACATAAATATAAACCACTTTTTATGTAAATAAACTCAGATCTAAATAACTGAAGTAATATTTATTGTTTATAGGTAGGTAAAGCCAATATAATTTTTAAAATGACAATTTTACCTAACTAATGTATTTATTCAATGTCATCCCAATTAAATTATTAAAAATTATTTTACTGAGTTAGAAAAAAATAACAAAGTTCATTTGACAGAATGGAAGGTCAGGAACTTCAAAGAAACCAAGAAAAAAAGATCTAAAGGAAGTAGATTCAGCATTATTAGACCTTAAACTATACCATAAGGTGAGATCATTGTTGAAGTATAAAAAGGATAATTTTGATTATTGTAAATTAAAATTTTCTTGTACTGAAACCTACATAGCCAAGAACAGAAAGAATTGAGGAAAAATTGAGGAAAAACTTTCACAGACAATCTCTCAGACAGGATGTGATTGGGTTGGAATATTGCTGTAGAAAATGATGAGCTGGTTGATTTAGAAAAACATGGAAAGGCTTGGACTTATGAAGGAAGATGCTATTCACTGTCAGAGAAACAGATGATAGGAAGAAATAAGTATAACATAGTCTTATATGCATATGTGTGTATAAGTGTATATGTGTGTATGTATGTTTATAGATAGATGTGTATATGTCTTTATATCCGTGCTTAATTGTAGCCTTCTTTGGGAGGGGGAATGTTGGTGGAAATAAAAGAAAAAGTGCGCAGCAGAGAACAAAAACAAACAAACAAACAAACAAAGAAGCAAAGAAAAAAGCTGGTCAGCTTTGAAAACAACATGTAGTATTTCTTATATAGGTTTTCTTGAAATGGAAATTTATTGTTTTATACCGAATCCTCTCTTATGGTCTGCTGTGTACATGTCAATTTCCCCCCCTCATTTTGTATTTAAGTTTACTAAAAAAAAAATACACACAAAACCACCCACTTTTGAATCTATACAAGTATTTTATCGCTTTGGTACACTGATTTCCTGATACTTTATGCATTTTGAAGTTATTTGGAATTAGATTTCCCTTTATATTGTTGCCTTGACTTTTGTTTTATATATATATATACACAAATATGTATATATATATACATATATGTATCCATACATATATGTAATATAATATAGCTATTATATAGAAATGCTATTTTTGAAAAGTATTTTTCTACAAGGCCCACAATTTTGTAGACGCTATTGTCTTAATTAGCATCATTGCTGATTTCCTAGGATTTTCTAAGTAAACTATCAGAAAATAGGGGTAGTTGTTTTCTCCTTTTTACCCATATTTATGCCTTTATGTTCTTTCTCTTATCTTATTACTATTGCCAGCATTTCTAGAACCATGTCAAAATATACATGTGTTTGGGTGTGTATATGTATAGTAAGGTTCTAGTATATCTCTATTGTATGTGATGCTTGCTTTTGGTTTTAGATATTTTTGTGATATTAAAAAAGTTGCTTTACACCTATATTTTGCAGGGTTTTTAGTGTAAATGGGTGTTGTGCTTTGTCAAAACAGTTTGTTTTTCGTCTATTGAAATAATTGTGGGTTTCTTTATTGTTTTGTTTTTAATATGATTAAGTTGTTTTCCAAATATTGAACTATTCTTATATCTGTTATAAATACAACTTGGTCATGGTCAATTACTTCTTTGATGAATCTTTCAAAATTGTATTTAAATTTTTTTAATTTATATTTATTAATGATATTAGCCTTCAGTTCTCCTTTTCTTTATTCTCTGGTTTAGGTATTAGAATTATATTTTTGTCATGAAAGAACCTAGTAGGGTGATTTCCTTCCCAATTTTTACGGACTGGCTCTCTGGTCCAAGCCAGGCGAAGACGGCTTACAGGCAAGGCTGGCAGGTGGCAGGCAGGCTCCCCTCGGGGGATCGTTGGACGGACTTCTTGGGATCGTTGGCCTGAGCTCAGCGGGAGATGGTTCTTACTAGGCAGCTCGCTATTTGAGATACGGTTGCCCACCGGTTGGGAGGCAAGCCGTCAGGGGAGGAAGAGGAGAGGAGTCTAAGCTTGTCCTGTTGCTGAATGTCCAGCCAGGTAGAGGAAGAGAGAAGTTTGCCACTCGCTCAGAGATGGCCCAAAACAAGCACATTCATACTGTCCTCCTTCGCGTCTGTTGTTGCCGAGATAACAACCTTTCCTCTTGAACTCACAAAAACTCGACTCCAGATGCAAGGAGAAGCTGCACTTAACCGTAACCGTTTTTTCAAAGACAATACCCCCTACCGGGGCATGATAAAGACAACCATTGGCATCATACGGGAGGAAGGCTTTCTAAAGCTTTGGCAAGGAGGAATATCTGCAATTTATAGACAAATAGTGTATTCTGGGTTCCGAATGGTCATCTATGAATATCTTCGTGACTCTGTTTTTGGGAAATCCGAAAATAACGTATTTCCTCTTTGGCAATCAGTCATAGGAGGAACACTGTCTGGTGCATTTGCTCAGTTTTTTTGTACCCCTGCTGATCTGGTGAAGGTTCAGATGCAGATGGAAGGAATAAGGAAACTCCAAGGAAAGCCTTTACGATTTCATGGTGTGCATCATGCCTTTCTAAAAATCTCCAAAGAGGGAGGAATGCGTGGCCTTTGGGTAGGTTGGGTGCCAAACGTCCAGAGAGCTGCCTTGGTGAACATGGGAGATTTAGTCACTTATGATTCAGTAAAGCGCTTGTTATTATTGAACACATCACTTGAAGACAATGTAATGACTCATGGCTTGGCAAGTATAAGTTCTGGACTGGTAGCTTGTCTTCTGGGAACACCAGCTGATGTCATCAAAAGCCGAGTGATGAATCAACCAACAGATGAAAAAGGAAGGGGACTGCTGTATAAATCTTCAACTGACTGCTTGATTCAGAGTGTAAAAGGTGAAGGATTTCTGAGTCTATATAAAGGCTTTTTACCAGGTTGGCTGAGAATGATACCTTGGTCAATGGTATTCTGGCTTACTTATGAAAAAATCAGACTTCTGAGTGGAGTTGATCCATTTTAAGACTTTAAAAAACATATACATTTAACCTCATTAAAACGTTGGTATTCACAAAGTATACCTAGTGCTATTGCTACCTCTTCAGGAAGACACTATTTCATCAAGAATGTACTTTTTTGGGTAGCAGCCCTAAATTTTCTTTCTTAAGGTCCAAGTGCCCTTGACCCCTTCTCTTGTTCCAGGAAAGGCTCAATGTATATCACAATATTACCCAATGAGCTCCAACACAGCACCTTCTAAAGAAGATTCTGATCCTGGATCCTGACCACCCACAACCTGGGATCTAGTCTTTGGGACACTCAGATGGATGCAACTTCAAGGAGTCCTAGTGATGAAGCAGCTGCTCAGGCTTAAAATACATGCTAGAACATAAAAGAAAGCATATGTCTCTCTTGAAATGTACATAGCCAGAGAAGTCAGTCTTCTTAGCAATTAAAGTTTTAAAAAGCACTTTCAAAAAATGAGATGAAATGAAAAAAGTGATGGATAGAGATATTGAGTTTTTTAAATGTGGGATGCAGTTGATGAATCTCTTTCTCTTAGAAGAAAAACAAGGGTGAAAACTGATTTTGAGAACTATTATTATTTCAACAGCAAACAGATCTGCCTTGAACAGCCCAAATTCTATGATAAAAGTTGATGAATTGTAGTATTTGGAGAAGTAGCAAATAGAGAAAAGCAGTCTTGTTGAGAACAAATGAAAGGCCACCCCAGCATATGTCCTTTTTAAATTTTAAACTATTCTATAGCTCTAAGACTTTTTATTCTTTATGGTTAATTACTGGATTTTTACATATTAACTAAAGCTTATCTGTATATGTTCTTTTTTCCTCCTTCTTTTCTGATCAGCCCTTCAAAGGTATTTACAAACCAAGGCTGCCATTGGAAATAAGTCAGAGTTGCGATGGCATTGACTTCTACTCGGAGGCACCATAGATTACTAAAACAAAGTTAGCTATCATTCTAGCTACTGTCTCATAATTTGACCAGGTCTTTTACTCTTATGAAGTAGTAAACTGGCTTTTGTTCATGGCTAATAACCTACAATGGCACGCTCCCTTTCAGTAAGATTTTTGCTGACCTATGGAATGCTCTTTCACCCACTGCTCCTTAAGGAAGTAACATCCTAACCATGGAAAAAACAAAAACTAAAATGGGATCAGAGTCACAACTTTAGCCTTGTTATAATGGTTCTGTAAACACCTGAGCTAACCAGACATAATGATGATAAGTTTGTATGAGGCTGACCACATTTGGGATCATAGGATCAGTTAAATACTAAAAGATTTACCAACAGTATGATGATAGCATTTATATGTAATCAGTGCCTTTTTACAGAAGTCCTACCTGTTGTCTCTGGTCTCCAATTTTATGCCTCTTGGGGTTTTCTAGTAGCATATAGTCAGTTGCAGAATGAGCACTTTTCTTTCTTTAGACTTTTAGATGACCTAAATTTACATGGCTTTTGTCACAATTGGTTCAAATGAATTAGGTTAAAACATTTAACAAAATGTACATATAAATTCCTAAGTGTCAGAACCTGAAATAGTTGGGGTATTTTAGCTCTTTATGACTTGTGACTTCTTAAATCAAAACCACAAAAGTTTTTCTAATTTAATCTCAAGTGTACTGAATGAGGACTAAAAATTTTAGTCAGCTTTATTCTTTGGTCATTATCAAGAACTAACAGTAATGTTTAGTGTCTATCTCTAACATATAGATGATTCTGAGTAAATCAAAGTGATCACACTTTTTATTGTCTTGCCCATGTTCATTTAGACATAAACAAGTTCTGGTTCCTTTATCCCTCACAATCTCATATTTTTAGTACCACGAGTGTTTAGCATATCTATCGTCCTTCATATTTTCATTTTTAATCCATTGTAATTTCTTATCCAACTTGGTAAATTGTAATAAGTCTTTTCTTAAATACAGTGTTCTTTTAACATGGATTCACTTCTGTGAAATGAGATTTCTTAAATCTTTTGTAGATAAAAGAATGTTTTTACCTTTTTCAGGTATTTGATATGCTTGTATTCTGTCTTTCCATTTAATTGCAAGCCCCTTGAGGGTGGGAACTGATCTTCCGTTTTGTTTCATTTTTTAATATTTCTATCTTATCCTCATTATACCCTTTAAATAGCTCTGCAGTTCTTCATACATTCAGGCAGTTCTTGACATCATTTGGCCTAAATCTGTGAGCTCTTAGGTAAATACTAAATAGCTGTATTTTCAATCTTTTATGTTCCCTTAGGAACCTTGATTTGTTACAACTGAAAGATACTTCATAATGTGAAATAATTAGAATTTGGGGAGATTTCTCTTTCACTTTTCCTTCTCCTGGAATTTAAGGTTCATTTTCTGTCATTCATTTCATGATATAAGGAGAATGATCACCTGATAAAGATATATATTTTTTTCAAATGCAGGTCGAGTAATTCAATTGGCTAATGTTCCTTATGTGCACAATTAGGATGCTAGATGTTTTTCTCTTGTGTTCAAATTTCATTTTCTCTCTTTAAATATCATGGCTTTTATGATGTTAATCACACTTTTATTCCAGTGTGTTTAATGGGATGAAGTTTAGCAGTTAGCATACCCATGCTGTGAAGATCATACTTCGTTTTTCTACTTGTTTTAAATAATACTAAATCATAGTGCCGAAAAAAGGAGAATAATTTGTGTAGTACTGGAAGTTTTAGTGTCCTTTAAAAGTTTAGTACAACTCCCTTGTGGATCCATTATGATCCTCAGTCCACTGGCTGAGTTCTGCTGTAGCAAAGAGCACTGCCATACTGCTGTGCTATTCAGAGAAAGCCTCTACATTTTCTGTTTTCTGCAGCCCTGGGAGGGGAGAAGGGTAGAACTGAGTTCTGTAGAAGGCCTCTGGATCTGCTTGTACAACCTTGCCTGAAGGGATGCTGAGGTTTGGGATTGCCCTTCTCTGCTATTAGTTTATCAGGTTTTTACCTTGCTTGAGTTCTTGGTGCCCTTAGAGATAGGGAAAATGGCTTCATCTATTGAGCATAATTTGTATTTTCAAGGGGGGGGGTCATGAGGATTATAGAAAATGATTCATCCTCTGTCTTGTTGGTCTCATGACTCAAAAGTCAGTATTTATACCTTAAAGAAAAACACTTTAAAATTTTGAAGTCTCGTTCTTTGTCTACTCTTCTCTCTCTCTCTCTCTCTTTCTAAAACACACACACACACACATACACACACACACACACACACACACACACACACACACAAAGGGATGTGTCTTCATCCCCCTGGGAGATTCAAGGGAACATAGGATAGAAAAGAGGAAATCAAGATAGTATTTTATGAGCAAAGATTTAGAACTGTAAGGGATCTTAGAAGTCATTTGGTCCAAACTCATTTTACAGATGAGGAAACTGAGACCCAGAAAGCCTTTACTTGTTAGACCAATGGCTGCTTCTACTCTTACTTACTGTATATCACTGAGACTGTAGGGACCAGAATACTGGTGGCTGCTGCTCCCAAAAGGACCAAATGCTTTCTAAGGTCCTACACCACAAAGTTACTTCTTCAGGGGCCAAGACCAGTATTCTGTAAGGAGTGACCACCAGGACAATATCCTCACTTGCCTTCTTTCGTGAAGCTACAATCAAACACTTAACTCCACCTAGACTCACCCCGCAGTGGTTATCACTTTCTCATCCTCTCTTACCCTCTACAATCCTGAGATACTGAATCTCAGAGTAGAGAGAACATAGATCATTCTCTCACCCCCATCAACCTCAATACTAGCTTCATCTACAATGCTGCAAGCCAAATCTGCCCACCATCCCTCCAGTGGTCTTTAGAATGATTGATCCCTTCATTGTAGAACTCTTCCTCTCATATTCCTTCCATGTCTGTCCTCACTGAGATCTAATTCCTCCTGAATGACACTGTATCCCAAGTCTTCTTTCTAGCAGCACCTCATACCTTCAACTTCCCCTTCTAGACTCTTCCTTTACTATCACTCAGCAACATCACCCCTTTAAGATTCACAATGTCAAACCGTATTACCCAATCTAGATCCTGGTAGCTATTATCTATCAACTCCTAAAATAATGTTCTCTCCTTTCTAACTGAATTTAGAACCTGCCTCAGAGTATCCCTCTCAATCCCCCAGGCCGTCTCCAGTCATCCTGATCTATATCTTGCCCTTGCTCTGGCTCCAGAGAAGAAAGTGAGGCTGGTGACCTTGCAGAGCCCTCCCTCACTTAAATCCAATTCACTTGCAAGCCATGGCATCATCTTCCTGTTGTCATGGTCCTCTTTGACAACATCCCTCTCAATCCAAGCTTCTGCCTCTTAATTCTTTAACACACATGTTGATATTCCTCCCAAAAATTCCCTAACCCCCCAGTTCTACAGTCTGTTCAGCATTCATACCCTACTCCTCCACATCATCTCAGCTATACCCCAAAATGGTAACTCTCATGATCTTGCTATCACCCATAAGTTATTCACCTCCATAATTAAGAATTTAGAAGTCCTCTTTACAACATGACTAATGTGAAAATATGTTTAATGGAAATGTATATATATAGCCTATATCAGATTGTGTGCCATCTTGGGGAAGAAGGAGAACAGGAAAGGGGAGAAAAATTTAAAACTCAAAAGTTTATGGAAGTGATTGTTGATAAACTAAAATAAATTAATAAAAAAAGAATTTAGAAGTCCTTTTACCCATTTGCAATCTCCTATCATTTCCTCTCTATTTTGCTTCTCCCAAACATAGTCTTCAACCTCACTTTGTTTGCAAGCTCTTTAACCCTCAGTATTTTCCCAAGCCATTATCTTTTTAATTGAGTTTGCTCTCTTCTATTACCAATCTCCCTTAATGAATCAGTTAAATTTATTGTTCTCCTTTATTCTTGGATCCCTTGTTCTCTTATCCTGTCACTGACTTTGACTTTTGACTTTACCAAACCCAATCCTAGACTACTTTCACCATCTATTTTCTCCACTCCTTTTCATATGTTGCTATATAGAGATGGAAAAAATTCTGTAAATATGCTGACTAAATTTACCAAAAATTTAGGTTGTATTATATCAGCTGGGTCCTTACTGCATCAAGGCAATTATTTTACTCCTCTCTAATTTATTCTGAATCCTAAATCCTACATCAGCTGTTTCATACCTCTTCTTTTTCTTTCCATTCTCTTAGCTGGAAGTCTTGAGTATGAAGTCATCCCCTCATACTTTACCAAACAAAAATTGAGGCTGCTCCCCACTAACTCTTCTGTCTTCTTCTTCACCTGACAATCTCCTGATATCATCCCCTTATACCTTTGCCTTTAATCTCTGATGAAAAGTTAGCCTTTTTCCTTATGAAGGACTACACATTTGAACCCATACCCTCATGTCTTCCCCAACAGATTTCTTCCGCTATCCTC